TAGTATGTAAGAGACATATATTATTATTATATAGTATAGTATATGTGTAGTGTGTGTGTTGTTATATATATATATATATATATATATATATATATATATATGTACTATTTGTACTATTTGTATATATATTGTGATTCGCTTTTTTTACTCATCTTACAAGTTCTTATGGATATACGCAGTCCGCCTTACATTGATAGCTACCAATATCCGCTTTCGCTCGCATCGCTAATCACCACTGCTTGTCACAGGCACTACTAGAAAGGTACACACACCCTCTCCATTCAATCGAACCGAGGCAGGCAAGCTCATGACCTTCGGTATGGGTGATAACAATCAGTTGGGTTATCCCACCAATGCCGGCGGCCGTAAGAAACCCTACATTATACCCACAACGGCCGACATAGACTTCGTACAAGTGGAGTGTGGCGGCATGCACACCGCTGCGTTGTCTTCGGAAGGAAAAGTGAGTGGGTGATCCGTAGCGATGTTGTGTATATGTGTATTAGTGGCTGTATGCACTGGATTGTGTGAATAGTCGTGAGCAGTCGTGTAGGTCAGCTTTTTGTGGGAGTATGGAGCTGGTAAACATTCGTAGGTCTATTTGGCTAGCACCGGGGGTGGTCACAACGGTACAGTGACTCTAGAGTGATTGGAGATTGTGTGTATGGTTACTGTATGTGTCTGAGTTTGCACTCAACCATGACGCTATACATATGTTTATATATACGGATGCCTTGTGGATAACAGATGTGTGATATGTATATAGTGTTGAAGGCTGTGTGCTTATGCATATGTTCGTTTAGATAGGTACTGTACATATGTCGATGTATATTTCTCGTTATGTGTGTACTCAATGTACGTATACTCATGGAGTGTCGCAACGGAGTGCAGGCAAAGGCACCTCCCAACCAAGACTTATATTGGCACGGGTATGTAGTACAGAAACACGCGAATCTAAAGGTCGTGCGTGTGTTTTTATACGTTATCACAGGAAGTGTGCAGAGCTGTATATTACCGACCTGATATTCACGTGACATACTATGACCAGCACACAGCTGTCCGTATGGATATTACAACTGAGTGTGTTTGCATTGCCGTATGAATATTACAACTACGTGTGTGTGTATTGAAGACTTCAGATGTACTGCTGCGTATATCAGGCTAGGGAGACAAGTTCTGATCAAGTACAAGACTCTTCTCGAACGCGAGTCTGCCTACGTACCTCTACCTACATCCCGTACCTACATCTCTTGCCTTTTTGGGGGTATTTGTGTAGGTATACACGTGGGGAGTGAATGACGAGGGTGCTTTGGGCCGCAAAGGACCCGAGGCTGTGCCTATTTTGGTTGAAGGGGAACTAGCGGAGAAGACTGTTGTGCAGGTGTCTTGTGGTGACTCGCACACGGCCTTTCTATGCAGTGACGGCTCTGTGTACCACTGGTATGTATGCTTGTAAAGGTTTGGCATTGTGTGTATGTATATATGTATCATATGCATTTGTGTGTATATATATATGTGTGTGGGTGTGTGTGTATGTATTGGGTACATGTGCTTGTGTGTATATACATCGCTAGCATATCTATGTGTGTATATATTGTGTGTACTCCTGTTGCGCACTTGTATGTATGTATGTATATATATATGTGTGTGTGTGTGTGCAAGGATGTTGTCGGATTTTGTTGTAGAGACTATCACGCCGCGTTCCTGTACAGTGACAGTCTTGGGAACCGCTGATATGTATGCATATATCTAGTCCCATCTATTACTTGCATAGATAATATCTATGTCAGTATATTCGTATTGATGTGTGTAACATGTGTATTGATTAATTATGTATATGTTGTATGCATGTGCTTTATTTGAACATGTGTGCACATCCGCATGCAAGGCTGTAGTGTGATTATTGACGCAGATCCGCCTTAGAACATTGTATACTCATGTATATACCCAATCCAGTGCAATATGCTATATCTTGCCATTGCCTTACGGCACCTTTGCATATCTGTATGCCAGCTAGGCGATGGACGATGGTATCCAACTTACGCACACCATCTCACTTGTTGTACCATAGTCTCATTCTAGATACATTTATATACTTCCACGCTGATTGCCATTGTCTTATTTTTATTTCATTATTGTTTGAATACTTTACACTTGTCCGCTGCAGTGGAATATTCCGCGCGAAGGATGGCAAATTTGGCTTACAATACGACAACCCAGATAAGAAGTCCGTGCCTCTTCCCGTACAGGTCACGCTTGTGCCCGGCAGGCACGACTCCAAGGTATCACAAGGGTTTATGTATATATATAAATATGTGTGTGTGTGTCTTTGTGTCTTTATCTGTGTCTGTCTGTGTGTCTGTGTCTGTGCGTATATATATATATATATATATATGCGTGTGGAGTATGAACGACTACAAGTCGTACTCTGTACCTTTGTACATATGTAATGCAAAAATAGTATGTTAATTCTACTTTCTACCTTTGTATGTATATCTGCATATAGGTACAAATTAGTACAACAGTTTGAAATGCCTGTCTTGGGCCATGTATACCTTTCTGACAAGCTGGTATGGAGTCTATAAGCAGCTGTCATGTGAATGTGTGTTCTATCATTCTGCCCTCCTTCGCTGTTGAATCAAATAAGCTCATTCTGATCGCTGATTCGAACGGAAAATACTCCGCTATTGGTGTGTTGTGCCTTTTACCTCACACTCGAGCCAGAAGTGTGCAGGTATTTCCGTAACAGAATAAACCTGACCATTTGTAGAGAAGTGCTTGATGGTTAGCAACGAGTGGACCACAGTCTTCCATTAACGACCTTGTGCGATAAGTACCCCCGCTAAGGATGCCTCACTACGGGTCTGTGTAGTTTGAGATAGTGTCTGGTACCAACCACTTAGTAGTGCTCATTGACAGTGGGGATGTAGACGCGTGAGCTTGTTGATGACTAGTGTGATCAGTGCGAATGGATACCCCATTTTAATACACTAAATACCCTCCACACACACACCCTTCGGTGGGCCTATCCCGGTGAATAAAGACAATCTATGCATCATCAACCACCCCTATGTGAACGAGATAGTTACCGGGTGCTCTCCACATGGTAAATTGGACTGGCAGCCCAGTGGGATTGTCCTTAAATAGTGTAGTCCGTTCGACTAGATACTCCACTGTTAACACACCTTTCCATGCACTACCCCGATGATTAAATTAACATTTCACACCTCTTACGACAGCCCTATGTGATCAAGATAGTGTCAGGTGCCGACCACGTAGTAGCGTTGACTGACAGTGGGGATGTGTACACATGGGGATGTCCTGAGCAAGGCAGGCTGGGCCGGTCTTTCAAATTGGGAGATGTGGACGATATGCGCTTCAGCAGTCTTATCAGGGAGAGCTGTAAAGGGGTTAAGGTGTGTTAGTGGATAAATACATTTGATGCAATGTGTATGGAATCCTTAAATTATGTATACATATAATATATATATATATATATATATATGATGTAGTGCATATAATCATATCTTCTTCCATTCATCTGCGCCACTTTTGAGATCGGGAGGATGGCGTATCTGTCGTATTATTCCAACGTTAGCCCGCGCACACATAACCTAATTTATTTTCGTGTTATTTTATCAGGTATCCTGTCACACGGATTCACAGATACCTGTAGCACGGGTGTCGTATTGCACCAACTGGGATGCTCACGCAAACACATCCTATTTATATTGTGTCATTCTATACAGGTATTCAGTCTCAAGGATTTAACCATGGACGGTTTTACATATAAGGTCGTCAACATTGCAGCGGGGGCTTACCACAGTTTTGCTCAGCTTGAAAGCACGTACGACAAAACAGACACCAAACTCTTTGCCTGGGGAGCCAATAACAAGGTGAGTGCAAGCTATGTACTCATATATATATATATATGTATGTATGTATGTATATATATATATCTCTGTCTATGTCTCTGTGTGTGTGTGTGTGTTATCTGTATGCTTTTGATGTGTATGTAATATAATAAATATATATATATTTATATATGTCATTCATACAGACTATGAACGTGTTTTTTGCTATCGAGGTTCTGCTTACACGAAGTAATACCGTGTCATGGATATTGTCTTAATGCGATTGTTCTTAAGGATGTGTTAAGTCTTTCTGACGGTGTCACTTGAAAATCATGTTCTGCATATTTTTACTCTATATTCCATAAGGCGAAGCATAAGCCGTCGAATGAGTGCACATTCTAGCCCATTATTATGTAAGTCGTAGTCCACACCCTATCACATAAGAATAGATGACAACCAGATCCCAGGCTTGCACGGTGGGGTAGTACTACGCCTATATAACTGTGAAGGCACACTTGTATATTGAACATTGCGTCATGCCCTGATAGTATTGACCTGGTGCGTCCAATCATCGTCCGCATACGAGCGCATCTATTCCGTACCACGTGGCCAGCTGGCAATCTGTGCACCTTATGTATCACACATCCGGTGTAGGCAAGCGAAAGCGAACTAGTATATTGTGTAGACACATCGTCTGTACTTAATGTATCTGTGTGGACACATCGTCTGTACCTAACGTATCTGTGTCATACTCAGGGCCAATCCGGTCTAGGAAATGATCAAATCAAAGACGTCGACGCGGAAGGTGGTACGGACCGCTACAGACCCGTTGAGGTTACTCTGTGCCCGTTGCCTGTGACTATGCTGGCTGCGGGTAACGCCTTCTCCATTGCGCTGGTCCAGAAGTCTGTGTATGCCACAGGTATGCATAGGATATGATATACTGGTACCAACAACTGCGCGTGTGTATTTGATGTGTATTGGTGTGCGGCAGTGTGCGTATGGGTATAGTTATGCCGCATATGTGGGATCTCATGGAGTGCGCCACCAGAAACATCCGGATATCAACATCGACCAATCCTACACCCGAACAGACTACGGCAACGCTAAATATTTGTATATATATATATATATATAATTCCCTCTGTGTTTACATTTTACCTATTCACCCCGCCAGGCAAGGGAGAGGATGGTGTGCTCGGGAACAACTCCGAGAGTCACTCCATGGGCGACGACGGAGTGAACACGTGGGTAAGCACGCACGTGCCCACACATGTGACGCCTAAGGAGATCTCTTGTGGGACTGAAGTGTCGTATATACTCACCACAGACGGTGATGTGTATGCCTGGGGCTTCGGAGAGAATTTACAGGTAGGATAGGTGTCTGGTGTAGCGGGTATAGTGAACGTACGATGTGAATTGAAATGGGGAGCCAACGGGTTGTGTGTTTCTGTGCGGTGTGTAGTTTGTGTGTGGCACCGATGTAGACGGACTACGCGAGGCTTTGCGAAGGCTGTCATTGATTTTCAAGTTATTCCGTGCTTGCATGGTTAGTTATATTGGGAAAGCGGGTATGCGCTAGTCTGTACCAGACTATGAGACATACAACGCATCCCCCAGGGACCTATGCATATCGATGCACACATGGGAATAGTCCCGGAGCATAGTCTGACGTGTCACTGGCTCTATGAGCAAACAATCGTACCACGGGAGGGATACAGCCCCGCAGCGGTATAAGCTCTGCATACGTCTGTGTGGACACCACAGAGGTCAAGCATAGCTGTTGTAACTTGCATATGACGCACGCCACATCTGTCGTCCCTGTACGGTATATATGTCGCTAAACTCTTAATCATTGAATATATATATATATGTGTGTGTGTGTCTATGTCTATGTTTTTGTCTGTTCTGTGTCTGTATATGTATGGATGTATCTATGGATGTATCTATATATTTATGTGTGTGTCTGTGTGTCTGTTTGTACACGTATGTGTATCTATGTATATGAATGTGTACATGTCACACGCTGGTATATATATATGTATGTATGCGTGTATATGTATATATGTATATATATATATATATATGTATGCGTATGCATGCATATGGATTCGTATGTATGCGTATGTATGTATGTTGTATGTATGCGTATGTATGTATGTTGTATGTATGTATGTTGTATGTATGTTTGTATGTATATGCATGTGCGTGTGTGACACATGGGGATATATATATATGTGTGTGTGTGTGTGTGTGTGCGTGTGTGTGTGCGAGGTTGCTACTGTATCCTGTTACAACCTGGTTGCTGCCTACACATATTGCTTGTCACTTACAAATCATGTTTGTTGGAACGTTACACAGCTTGGCAATGCTGAGAAAGTTGATGAACCCACCGATTCCCTGTTGGTGCCTACACTCTTGGACGGCCATCAATTAACAAACAGAAAGGTATTTTAATTTCATTCTCAAACAGAGATCGCTATTTATGTGGTGTCAGTATGGAATGGACCAAATTGGGAATCTAGGTCTGGGATTATGGGTTTAAATTGAATAGATACTCTTTGCGTAAACATATGATACAATGAGCACATATAACTAAATTTCGTTTAAAATTTGAGATAGCTTTCTGATGATGCTCAATTCGAAAGTTGGCGCACATATACATGAGATATACTCAGGATGCTGAAGGATGATACAATTGACAAGTGGTTGTGACTTTTGGTGATCCTTTGATTGTAGATGCGGCCTGGTATGTTAGCAATTTAGAGCTGGAAACATGGCCAAAGCAATCATTTATTTTCATACTTTATCTTCTTAACACGGTACTGTTCAACCTCCTTGAACTCAGGTGCTTCAAATTAGCGCTGGAGGACAGCACACGGCCCTTATTGCCAAAGGACCTGGACCACCCCCCAGAGATGCACCCGCGGCCACAAAGGCGAAGTGAAGCTTAAATCGCAGTGTATAAAGCATGTTCGTCATAACCTTCTCGTGTGTTTTATTGGTATTCCGGATACTGAACCGCTATACAACGAAGACCAGCTGTTCCCCACACGCTTAGTAAAATGGGTCGCACAGAGTGCACAACCTGCTCAATGATTGTATGAATGGTTGCCTTGGATTCAATTACTATATTAGCGACATAATGACCATATGGGATTATTCCATGTGGGATATTGCATATTGTCGCCATCAAGTATATACATCGCTGGTTTTAAAGATGGGTTTGCAATGTCGTTGTGTTCTACTGAGCTGAATTAGTACTGCGTCAGTCGCCAATGTCATAGCGTAATATGTCACGAAGTTTTTTATGCTGACAATATTGATTGATGATCTAAATCATAAGTGTCTTATAGAGACCAGTTCCAAGGGCATGCTTCGTCGGCCGGTATCCGTGTCATACCTATACATTCATCCGACGCGATAGGGCTAATAAGTCGGGCGCATCGAGGGCACCAAGTCCTAATGAATAATTAATAGATATTCTGAATAATGAGAGTGCCAATCAGTCGCATGTAGTTGGTTGATTTTAAGAATAGAAGCTCGATCATTTTCGAGCACACGGCCGCCAACAACTGTGCATTCACAAAGCAGAAAATAGATTAATATAAACAGCTCCCATTAATTGTGTTAAGCTCTTATTTAATCTTATACTTGGGTGTATGCCTTCGAACCCTAAGCACGGGTCAATGAATGTTGTCAAACCAATCGCTCGATAGCACTGCAATAATAATAAAAACTATATGTGAAATAATTCAAGTTTGATGTGCACAATAGTGCCTATTTACTACGTTCCTAATAATTAAGTGTCTTTTTCCAGCGCAAGGAGGGGGTATGTAGTCGTGCGTACTCTAGACTGGTTGCTTCCGTATGTTCCAGTAATATTCTGGGACGTTCCATGGATGTGCGCTCCTCTTGAAGTTCTTGTACTTGTCCTCGTATTGCGTTGATCTTAGATAGTGGGGTATTAACTGGGTAACACCAGCAGTCAATTACTAAATATATTCTATTTGATTTAAAAGCTTCTTCAGGTGTACAAAGAAGTGTTGTTAACGCTTTCGGGGTGCACCTCCATCTCGCCGTTCTTGTACTCATCCATCTCGTGCGCAATATGGATCATGGTAGATATACTTAACCTACTAATTGGGTTCTTACGATCGTACACTGTGGGTGAAAATGCCTCGTACTCAATCGGTGGGTGTTCGCTGAACTTTACACGAAGTGCAAACTGTGTGACCTCGTCAGGCATCATATTGTCAAGCATATTCTTCTCAATACTTTGAAAATCGTAAATGTTTGTTGATTTCATCCTGGAGCTTCACATGTCTTTGTCGTCTCGTATATATACATATCGTTGATCACCGACTCACAATTCGAGGGTTTGAGTTTTGAGCACCTGTCATCGTGTGAATCATCAGTGAGTGGCGAGTGCAGGACTATTTGCGACTTTGGGTCCTGTTGTCTATTAAACTTGTCTGAGAAATATGTTGCTCAATTTAGAATGCTATGTTTGAGAGCGGGGTTGGGATTGCCGGAGTCTTGGACTCCAGTGGGTCTTTTTATTTTTTAAAGAGTTATTAGGGAAAGGAGCTGGGGTTTTTTAAGACCATTTTGAATTTTGAACGGCCACCGATTGCTCAAGTTGCTACATACCGTCGCTACGGCGCTAAATAAATAGTAAATACATACACGTTGCTCGGTGCCTCGGTCGTTTTAGGGTTACAAAGTCGTATAGTATTATATATAAAACAAAAGCCGGTGTACGACTGTATGCTCCATATGTGATAGTGGAGTAAACTATGGAGCAAACTATTATTACATCATTTGAAATTGATCATTTCATTGGCCATTATATTTGTATATACTTGTATACACACATGATAGTACGAGTCAGAATTTCAGGTCAGTCTATCAGAGACAGAGAGACAGAGACAGAGTCTCGGGTCTCAGGACTAAGAGTATCTGAGAATCGGTATCGTCAGTCACGAACTGACGATTCACGTATAGCAACAAGAGTCAACAATCACTTATTAAATTTTGAAGAGTTATGACCCTCTCCCTACTCTCTAGAGCTATTCTCTCTACAACAGTCTACATAGTAGAGATATCGAGATCCTGACTCCTACCCACCTCTGGCTTTTTTTCTATAAATGTAATCTGTCACTGCCTTTTCACTTTTGTTGGACACCTATTTACATATAGAGTTTTGCCCTATACGACGTCAATCATTCTGCATCAATGCAGTAAACGTTTAACGTTAACGCAAAACTATGATTAGATTATATACGTTTTTGTTTACATATAAATCATAGCCTTCTGAATTTAATACTCGTAGTTACCGACCAGTGTTACACCTTAGCGGCATAGCCTGTTCGGTTACACCCGTAGAAATCCCAATACATAGTTCTAAAATGGTATAAACGTTTACCCATCGTAAAAAACCCTCTCGTTTTAGTAGTATTGGGATGGACGAAGGACGATTGGCCCTGCCCTGTAGGACCTGGACTGGACTGAGGACTTTAGGTTGGACTCAACCACCGCATGGGTTGGGTTGGATAGTTGAATTGGAATAGTGGTTTTAGGATGGATATATCAAATATAGACATAGAAGTGCGTCTGTCTTTGGAACTAGGTCTCTGAGAAACTACGTGTCTCGAGACAGTCGCTTTATAATTACCGAGCAATAAAGCTAACCACTACTACAATTAAGCGAGAGGACGTAGACTTAGATATCGGTTAGCTACGTACCCAATACTTACCATAGTATTACCTATAGTTATTTTTTTCCACTACTACACATAGCCTCCTAATGTTTCCTTTTTAGGAGGCTATGTACTACAGTTTCTTTAGCCTTCTCTGAAAAAGTGAAAATAAACCTTTACTGGAGTGAAGCTACAACCAACATAAGATCATTGAACAAAAATACATACACAAATAAATGACAATCTAGTTTTACTCTTTTTTAGGAGGATAGGACTATGTACTTTTTTTTTAAATAAGAGCAAACATGAAAAGACCTAAAATATGTAATAACAACTCTCGACTTGTCTCAAGAGTGAGTCGAGTGACGATTCTCGGTCTCTCTACTCTACTCTAGAGAGGACTCTCGGCGGCTCTCTCTTCTTGGCCGCCTGGCGGTCTGGACTCTGGAAGTTACTGGAACCTGGCCTCCGTCTCCGTCACTCTGAGGCTCCGACAACAAGTCAATAACAATTCCTCAAATGAATTGATATTTGTAATATTTGTCACATTTGTGATTTGATACAGTTTGTCTCAGACTGTCACAGTGTCGCTGTACAGAGTGTAGTATTTTAATTTAGACTCTCTCTACTAATAAATAGAGAGAAGAGTCTCTCTCAGTCTTTACATAGTCTCTACTACTCTACTCTAGAGAGCGAGAGTAGTGTAAGTACACAGAATCTTTTTTTTTAAACCATATGAAAAAATATATTGAAATAAAACATAGTCAATTTTTGAATTTAGAGGGCTATGAATAAAACCATAGCTCATTTTACCAATATTTATGTATTTACAATTTTACATACTCTTACGTATTGAAAATAAATGAGAGGCTATGAAATTTATCATTAAGGAACTTTTACGCCATGATTATTATGATGACATCTTTAGTAATTCTTGTCTGTTAAAAATGTATACGTTCGTTTTCATTCAATTTTTGACTATAACACAGCCTTCTTGGCTCACAGGATATGTAAATAAAGAATTCGTGTGAAATGTTTTGCTTTGCATACTTACTACTATACTGTTTCGATCGATTGTCTGATTCAGGGCAGAAGAATAATGATGAACTTCTTCCCGTCCACCTTGCGTTTTATAGCACTGCTTCCAATTGCCACAGTGGCAATGCTCTATAGTGGTATTCTATTCGTTTTGTACTCAAATGCCACGCCTGGAATAAGCAGGACAGCCATCAATGTTTTGACTCAACGCTATCTTTGCCACAGCACTGGCATTAAAGAAGATCTAGCTGCACAAAAGGTACCTTAAGATGTGTGGTGGTGGGATTTGTGACCTAATATGAAAACGATCAATTTGGAAACGGCTACATCTTTTATACTTATTTATGTACGTACGTATGCATGTATTATATACGTA